GAAGGAGATGAATTGGGATTCTTTTATTTATTATTATATTATATTCATTCTTATATATTCTTATTCCTATTATTATTATTATTATTATTATTATTATTATTATTATTATTAATATTATGCGTGCATCTGTGTGTGTACGTGTGTGTGGGTGAGAGACAGAAAACAGTTCAAGTGGGCACGTGGAGAGCAGTGTTTTAAATACCGTACCGGTGGCCATACCGGTCTAGCAAATATAATAATATATATATTTATTTATAAAAATATATAATACCAAATACAAAAAAAATAAAAAATAAATGATCATAATCATTAATTTTAACTTACCAATGAAATAAAATAAAACATTCTAACTACCAATTTAAATTTTATGTCTTTAAATTAAAAAAATATATTTTTTATTTTTTTTTTTAATTTTTTTTTCATGGCCGGTATTTTGGACCGGTTTTTCCCGGTATTTACGGTACAATACCGGTACAAAACGGTATTACCGAAAATCCGGTATTTTGTGTGTTTTTGTACCGCACCTAAGGCCGGTAACCGGTAATACCGGTATTACCGGCCGGTACGGTACGGTTTTTTAAACACTGGTGGAGAGGTGGTCATAACTCGGGTCGCAGCTTTTATTTGGGTTTATCCTTCGTACTAGTACAACACCCGTGTATTACACACGGGTGCTTGCTAATTTTTTTCTTAAAATCTTAAATTAACTAGTACAACACCTATGTATTATTCTTAAAATCTTAAATTAACTAGTACAACACGCGTGTATTACACGGGTGCTTGCTAATTTTTTTCTTAAAATTTAAAATTAATGAGAAAAAATAGTTTGAAAATTTAAATACATTTTATGAGAATATATATATATATATTATATTTATTATGATACTTTTTATTTGTGCGACTTACTTGTGTTATATTATACTAATTTTTTAACTTACACTATATAACTACAGTAAATATAAATATATCAATTGAGAAATAATTTTATTTTTCTAATGAATTTTAATAAATATTACTACCTCCTATTTTTAATATATGTCTGATATGGGATATTATATACTAGACCGGTTCGCAGAACACTCCAAACAGAATAGTATGAGGGTGTGGTCGAGCAGTGTCGACAGGTCTACAGAAACTCTAGCGCCTGGTCGAGAAGGCGCATTCCAGCGAGAATAGGCGCGGGACCAATCATCCCCCGTTTGTGGGGCAGATTACACGCGCGAGCACATGGACAGATTTGGTCGACAGCCAGAATATGCTAGAGGATCTCCGTCACGTGGAAGGGGACACGTGGCGCTCTGTGAATGGGCCAAGGAATAACGAACTCCGACATTCTCTGACGCGGCTGACGCGT